GTAGGAATAAATCAGTAGGTAGACGCAGACAAAATAAACTGCTACGATACTTTGACTTGTAGGAGACATAGAAATATTTTATTTGCGAAATTTTCGGCAACTCCTGTTACCTTCGTCAGCGCATGAGTATCTACGAGAAACCTGCGGCCTCTCGCTGACAAGGCGAGCGTCATAACCACTAGACCACGAAGGCTTCATGGTTGAACAGGTCCGAATAACCGTCGGGAACATTGTATTACACAATGCTACGCCTCAGGAGGCGTTCGACCAGATAAATCTGGCAATACGGCTAGAAATACTGTTGTATATTATATATGATATTGAAGGGAGTTAGCCGTTAACACTGTTGAATAAATATAATATAAATCATCAGCGAGAGGCCGCAGGTTCGAATCCCGTCGGAGGCATTTTATTACAAAATGACTTTTATAGGACTTCAGGGTAGCCTACGATGTCCCATCATGTCCTTATTTAAACACTGTATATGTACCTTTGATGATTTATATTATATTTATTCAACAGTGTTAACGCTCCTTTCGGTACGGTCTAAACCAGAGCCATATGGTTAAACTAGATAACTCTATACCGACCAGAGCTGTACTAAAGGAAATAGATATGTGTATGTACCAAAAAATGATTTAATAGGCGGAAGTTGAACTTCAGACCCCTCTGTTGAATATTCATGATTAAATGTTACGGTAGTTCAGATGAACTGAATGAAAATTCTTATGCCAATATGGGTATGTATTTGGTTTAGATTATACTCTCAGCTACAAAATGTTATTACAATAATTGCTTTAATGTTGAGATTTGGAAATACATCAGTGAATTGTTTTTGCTAATTCAACACCAGGTAAATATGATCACTGAATAACTGTACATTATATAGAACTCAATCAAACACAGTCACTGGTGTGGTCCGGAGTAGCAGAAGTTTGGTGTTGCCAACAGTTCCTGATATAGATCGATAAATCTGTTAAATGTGTTAAGTGTGTAAATATTTATGATTCAATTCTGTTGCGTTGTTTGACCACTTTTGTTTATAAAGAACGTATTTTAAAAAGCAACTAATTACGTCATTACTATCTAAATACGAAATAGTGACTTTTGGTGACAAAAAGTATGAACTTAACGTCATCGTTGTATGAAAACATGCCTGAAACTCCTATTAAAGGGGCGATTTCACGTTTCTGACCCCTATTCAGTGGCACCTTATAGTTAGCGCAAAACCAGGGAAAAACTGCCATTTTTTCCTGTCAAGGAAAAAATGATGTTATTATACGATTTATAACATCATGTCTCTACGTATTTGAGCACTGTATTGTTATCTATGAGATTGTGGGTTCGATTCCTAACATACCTCTTTTTTAAACAACACTGTCTTATATATACATATATATATATATATATATATATATATATATATATATTATATTAC